ATTATTATTATTATTATTATTTGAAATAAAAGGCCACCAAACAGGGTTTGACTTAATGTTATAATTTAATTTTCCCAAGTCATCAAGCACAATGTATTAACACGAAGGTGCCAAAATGCACCTCCCTAGAAAACCGCCATGAGCATCATCTACACACTACAAGACATGCCATTTTCATTTTTCTATGTAAATTGTGTGATTCCCCTATCTGAGTATTTGTAGTATTTATTTACGGGGTGGAAATTGAGATTGGTTAAGGGCCTTTTTTAATAAACGGAAATATTCTTAAAAAGACTAATAAATTAGAGGGGAAAATGAGATTAAGTCTAGTATTTTTGGCTCTCTCTAGAGTAAATATCTAACTCTTTAAAACCTAGAAATATCAATTATCCTTGGTTTTGTGTAATGCGTCTCAGAACATACTCCCTCCATCCTATTTAGATGAATTTACTTTCCTTATTTTCTTCTCTCATTTATATAGTTCTATTTCTTTATTGAGCTTATTTTGTTTTGTTCGTTTATTGATATACCCTCATTTAATTTGACTAGTCATAAGCAATTTTTCCACTTAATTTTGGAATTGTATAAATATATATAAGGGCAAATTAGGAAGTTACAGGGAAAATTTATTTCTTCAATAACATTAAATAAGATTTCTTAATTCGTGTGAGAAACAAAACAAACCTATATAAATGGAACTGAAGGAGTACTTGACTAAGTTTAGAAGTAATTGTAACTCTTTCCAAACATGGTACCTTTGTGATGGCCCTTAATTTCTTCATCACCCTCTAACCATAGACGGATACAATGTGTAGCCCGATCTAAACCAGCCATATTCAGTTCTAAGCCAACATTTCCCATGTTCAAAATGTTTGCAGTCTTTGTAAAATAAATAAATGCAACCCAAGTCCTAGCTCTAAATCCAAACCCACATGATCTCTTCTTGATAGATGCACAAAATGTTCAAATTTCAAAAATTAGATCTCCTTCTTGACTCGACAACTCGATAATAGAACTAATCTCTTCTTATTGTATAAACACTTATTTTTGCAATTAATCGTGCTCGGGGTAGAAGTCATGTTGATTATTTTTTGTATTTTTATTATTTTTTTATGTTTTTATAATACACATTGATAAATAAATTTGTGTAAATGCGAAGGATATAAATATATGTTCAATTTTATGTGTCACGATATTTAAATAATCTTTACAAAAATCAAGAACTCTAAACAAAATCGAGTATTTTAACCAAAAAAAACATTTAAAAGATTATCAATTTGTCTTTGTTACAAAGTCATATTGGACCATTATATTATTTGTGAACCTTATAGCCTAATTAACTTACCACTTGGATTTATTAATGCTATTTTAACAGAAATTTTACCCTACTTTTTTGAAAATTCAAACTTAGCTGCTTATATATAGTTGCTAGAATTTTGCATTCAATGTGAAAATAAACTTATAATGTTGTTATGTGGCTGACTTAATGTTGAATTTTTGTTGCCTTATTTTTATTATTATTAGTTCATTGTTATTTTGGCTCCTCGTTTTTTCTTTTTGTGATTTCTAGAAATTATGAATGAGGTCAACCTTCGTCAAGAGAGGAAAAGAGAAAAGACATTATTTTTATTCTCTAAAAAACCAGGTTATGCAATTCATGATTGACGGACCAAAAATTAAATTTCAAGTCTTGCCGTGCAACACTTCATGAACGAGAATTTGTTGGGAAAAAAAGAAAAAATATATAATCCTGTTTGACATCGTTTTTCATATTTATTTTCAACCACAAATTATCTTAATAAAATAATTTTTGCATATGAACATGCAACTTTTTATAATGTATAACCACGCTTTCTTAAGAAATGCAATTTTGTCACAAAATTTATTCTCAAAAAATTCTATCATATAGGGGCATAGATTCTAATATAGATGAATATTATGTTTCAAATTCTCATAGGGAAAATGACTTAGATAAAAATGTCATTTCACAGTATTTTTGTTATATATAAATTTTATTACATTGACTTTCTTAAATTTCAATTCCCTTAACGAAAATCTTGAGTCTTCCTCTCTATCCAAAATGATCTTATCATAATAGCTAAATCAAGTAAATGCAATTACGTCACAATTTTTATTTGTTGCATTATATTTTAATAGCACTTTAAAGTTCTCAAACTTTATTCATTGTGCCTTCGTTTGAGGGGCATTATTTTCTCATTTTTCAAAGAAATCCAACCGTTATTGGATCCCACACAGCCCTTTTTTTGACTTGCATCTTACCAAGTCTTGAAAGATTGTACACCAACGGTCAAAAAGCCATTTTTATGAGGAAATAATTCCCGTCAAATAGGTGCTAAGTAGGACTAGTCTACTTAAAAATTGAAACTATGAAAAATATTTTAATTTTATATTTTGAAAACATGAAAATTGTATAATTGACTAATGGTAGGAGTTATTAAGTAAATATTGTATTTGGTAATTTTAGATGTTTAATATGTATTATTTTAATTATTAAATAATTTTTAAAATGACTAAACATTTAAAATAATATTATAAATAAAAAACATTTTTTTAAAGCTTAAACCTCACCTAGGCTCGCTTAAGCTCATAAAGCTTGAAGTTTCAACTTCACGCCTGATCACGTTTTACGCTTTTTAGAACAATACACCATTGTAATATATAAAAAGCGTGGGTTTAGAGTTTTTGTCCTTTTTTGTATTTGGAGAAAAAAAGATGATTTTCAAGAAACGTGTAACTCCATGTTCAAGTAAGACAAAGAAATCAAAATGTAACCCACAGATCTATGATTCGAATTGAAACAGGTAAGCTGTAATTCAATTACCCAAACACAAGATTATAATTCAAATCAAGTGAATTGAAGCACCACCAACTTGTAAGCACAATTACGTGTACTATTCCACCACCACTTGATGCATAAAACACTCACTAACAAACAATTTTTGAAAATTCATAAAAAGAACCCCAAAAAATCTTCATGTATTTTGCTTATATCATCTACAGATTACTCCTTCTGGGGAAAAAAGGAATTGAAGCATTAATGGGTCTGATTGTGTTGACTCAGTTGGCGACAGGTCTGAGCGTTTTGGCAGGGACGGTTCTGGTGAAGTTTGTGATGGAGAATAATCCAATGGGCGGTCTGCGTCGACTACCCAGATGTTCCAGTTGTAATTCTGTGATGGAGATCTGTGGGTTACATTTTGATTTCATCTTCATATTTATGTGGGTTACACTATGATTTTGATTTTTATGGTTGGGGATGGCGGTGGCGGTGGTCGGTAACTGATTTTCGGTGGGGATGGGGATGGGGATGGGGGTGGGAGTGGGGTGAGAGGAAGAAGATGATTGGTTATTTTATTTTATTTTTATTTCTTATTTATTTCTAATTTAATTTCTAACTTATTTTAATATATAATAAATGAAAAGTTACTATTTTACCTTTTTAAAAATTAAAAATATGGTCAAAGTCAAATTTCTTAGTCAACTAACAGATATTGGATGAAAACCGTCCAAAAGGGCCTTCGTCGAAACGTTTCAAAAGGTTTGGGATGACGGTTGCAGCAAATTAAAGGTTTGGAGAAAGTCTGCAAATGTTTAAAAGGTTTGAAACCTCTGCTGCAATTTTCCCTAAAAATTATAATAACTATGCAATGACATCCATCATGTAAAACAATTGTCAGAACCTGTTGAAAATGTTCTAGGGTGAAAAAGATGCCGTCCAAAAGTCGAGCCGTGCTACATGTACATGGGCTTTAATATGCTTGTGAACACAAACGGGGGGGATTTCCAATTTTTTTATTGGACACGGGCCCTTCATGTGAGGGGGGTGTAGACAGACGTGTTAACCACCTGTGTACAAATAGCAAATTTTCCAAAAGAAACAATATGTTTGATGAAGTACATTAATTAGTATTGTATATCAATAAAAATGATAAAAACGTTAAAATTTTATTGTTGTACCGGATCAAACAACAAGGGAGATACAGCTCACTGGGTTGTTCCTTTTCAACAACAATAAGTAGGCAGCGGGAGGATGGACGGGAGAAGCCCAAAATTTAACTGTAATATTAGAAACTGAAACTACTGCACACCACGGAAGAAATATAAGGGACCCGTGAATGACGCATCGAATTTTGATTTTGCCCATTGAAAAAGGCAATTCTACAAACAAGGGAAAAGTGGAAGACAAGATTGCAAAAGTAGTAATTATAGGCTTAAAAGGCAAAATCCTCTCTCCCCAGCTATACAGGTCTTTGGTTGTCCCCAGCTAAAGGGTTTCCAAGAAATTAACAAGATTTGCATTTTGCTCAAATGCCCATTTCAATGTGGATTTTGGGATGGCTGGCTATGATCGAGTGAACTTGTCCAATGCCCCTACCCAATTGTCCATCCCTCCATTTCTTGCACTTTAAAGATGCAATTTCTTTAGCCTTTTTAATCCTTTTTAATTTTTTCCCTCTTTTTATTATTATTATTATTATTTTTTTTTTTTTTTTTTTTTTTTTTGAATAAGACTGATGAGATGAGTATGCAAGATTTGTTTGAAAGCTTGTTCAGCCAAAATTCACATTTGAGCAGCTCTTTCCTCAAGATGAGAAGTAGCTTAAAGAGTGGAGAAATGGAGTAAATCTAAGTTCAATTTTTCCCTCACTTGCCTAGTTTCTTAAAACTATTTCTCTTCAATCTGCACAATGAGGAAACATGGATGGCAGCTTCCCTACCATCCACTCCAGGTATCTTTTTCTCTCTGTAAGCATAGATGTTTATCCTTTTTTCTTGTTTGTATATATAATTATATATTCAAGTGTTTTGAGTTCATATGGTGGTAGACATAATTGGTACACTAATTCTTTGATTTGGAGAGAGGAGATCATTGACTCACCAATCCATGAGTCATTATACTCCACGGATTAATGCGATCCACCAATTGACATTTAAATAGAGGGGTCTCTGTTCATTAGGCGAAGAAGCTTTAAGAAAAAAAAAAGGGGTACTCCGAGCCAAGCACCAGCCCTAGTAGGTGCTCGCTGCCTATGCCAAATGGTCTTTCTTTGGTACTACCTTCCTGGCAAGTTTTGCCTATGTAAATGAATAGTCAAATCAAATTCCTCAAGACCATGAAAACTTTCCTTTCTTGGGCATACTTCTGTATGAAAATGGGACTTTCGCCTTCTTGTGAGTGAGGGCCTGTTGTTGTTTTGAGTTCATATGGTGAATTTGTGCAGGTGGTTGCTGTTGCTGTATTTCTAGCGTTGGGGTTTGCCTTCTATGTTTTCTTTGCGCCTTTTGTGGGAAAGCAATTGTTTCAATACATAATGATGGCAATTTATACTCCTCTTGTAAGAACAATTTGTATTCTTTTCAATTGTCATATAAATATGTTTTTCTTTAATGGCTGTAAAGAATTTAGATCTGTGCTCTCATTGCTTTTGTGGTTGATCTTGATTTTGCCCAAAGGAACTCTTACACTTTTAGCTATTCCATGTTGTTTTCTATTCTGTTTTAATTAACCTCAGAGTTTGTTTGATAACATTCAATTTTATTGAAGACCTGTCACTTTTAGATGATAAGCAAAATCGTGTTTGTCCTTTAGCTTTGGTTGCATATTTGGAGCCACAAGTTTCACACTCAGATTTTCAATTTCTTCCTTCTAGAGATTAGACATTGATTCAAATTTCAATTTTTCTGCCTAGTAATTCTGAGATTTCATCGACTCAAGTTCCTGAAAACTTTTACGGAGGAGTAAATAAGTTTTTGCCTTCAATACCTTGCGAATTGGTTACTTCCCCGGCATCGTAGCAGTTTCCTAACTATTGCCCACCAGTGTTCAATAAAATATAACTAAAATAAACAAAAGGGCTATTTGCTTTGAACTTGAGTAATCTTCTTGCGATTTTATGGGAAGAGAATAGTGTGTTAATTTTTTAAGGAGAAAAACCTAGTTTTTTGTGTGTTGGATGGAGGGATCTAGGAACGAGGAGGGGATACAGAATTGATGTTATTAATTTCCTATTCATTATATTCCCTTGTTTTCACCTTACTCTTGGATATATGTTTGATAAACTATGAAGAGGACTGGCAGAAATTGTAGGTGAAGCAGATGGGCACATATTGTAATTATCATGGATCAATGCATTCCATCAGTTTATCATTTGTTGATATGCCATTTTTAGTTAAGCTTGTTTTCTTTGATGATCCATAGGCTGCAAATTACATGATGGTTTGGACCTATTTTTGGTCTGAGTGGCAGTGCCAGAAATCCATCGCATATCTTTTCTTGTAAATTGATTTGGTAAACGAAGAAAAGATACGTGTTTTTATCTTCTTTTAAATTATCTGTTTGCTATGTACAGTGTCGTTAAAGTTTCACATTGTGATGAAGCATATTTTATGTTGTTCTTCACCTTATCACAAGTTTCTTGCATTTATTGTCTAATGAACAAATTGATGCAATAATTATAGTTTCTTTAGACTCTAATCTCAAATTTGTGTTATCTTTTGTCAGATTATATGTGTCCTTGGTCTATAGATTTGGTGTGCTGCTGCTGATCCTGCAGATCCAGGAGTCTTTAGGTCCAAAAAATATCTAAATATTCCCGAAGACAGAAAGCATGTCAAATTACACAAGTCTGTACTCGGTCGAGAATCAACTTTGTTGACTCAAGATGCCAATGCTGCCACAGAAGAGACATCCCATGATAAAAGAAACAGAGATTTAGGTGCAACAGCTGATTCTACTGCTGAAACACAAAAGAAGAATCATCTCATCAAAGATCCTGCTTAATTCCAATGCTGGCTTCGTTGCCTTGTACTTATGTTTGCAACTCATGTTATGAATCTTCCGATCAACAAATGAGTGAAGGCGGGATGTTCTATTGTAGTTTATGTGAAGTCGAGGTGTGTAGTTACATATGCTGTTAAATGGTTTCTGCATCCTGGAATCACCCTCCAATACTGCGTCACAAACTGAAAGCGTGGATTGTCCTTATATAGCATTTTTGATGATACAAAAGATTAGATAGCACTTGACAGTACTAAAAAGAAAAAGCATGGATTGTCCTTATATAGCATTCTTGCGAGGAAGCAATTCACTTTGAACATCAGTTCCAAGTTAGGAAGCAGTTTCACACTGGTTCCATTTGTCATTATGGTGGTGAGTACTTTTTTAACGACCTTTCATGTCACTTCCATTTTGATTTCATTGGTTTGTGGTTGGGAAGCAAAAAGGAGGGTATTGAATTATGAGTTCACTCTACAGGTCAACCTCGGGATCTTTGAAACTTCTCTGTGTTTAGCTAAATAAAATTATATCAAGAATCCAATTTGTATGCGTACATTTATCGAGTTGCTCCAAATGTTGTTGCCCTAAGTCCTACCGAGGACAAAGATTAACAGTGGTTCACGCTTAATGTTATAGCTACATTCACTCTAACAGCATGGTTTCACTCTAATGGAGAAGAAGAGTACAAGGTTTTTGCATGCCTCTAGTCTCCCCCACAAAGCTATTCCTCCCCGCAATTAATCCCTAATATAGTAGGAATATTAGGGCAACCTCTCACCCACATATGAGTCAAATATATCCCTATAATGAGAATACTATCCATGGTTGAGAGGAAAACTGTATAGTTTGATTATACTCCACATAGTTCGACAAAAGTAATTGATAGATGTAAACTTACTTATTACAGGCAGTATCTACCACATTGGCCATGATTGCGACGCTGCCACTTGCTCAGCTCTCCTTCTTTCACATTCTTCTTATCAAGAAGGTTAGCCTTTGATTTTCTTTTCTTCTGAAAATTTGATGGAGAGTAAACATGGTCGGGAAAAGATGATTTTCATCAAGCTGACAATTACAGATGACAGGGAATTAGCACATACAATTATATCATAGCTCTGAGAGAGCAAGAACAAGAAGGTGTTGTTGGCCAACAGAGTCCTCAAATGTCTATGGCTAGCTCTCTTACTGGATTAAGCAGTGCAAGCTCATTTAACACTTTCCACCGTGCAGCATGGTGCACACCACCACGCCTTTTCGTGGAAGATCATGTATACTTGATGTTACCTTATTTTTTCGAAGGAGTGGAATTCATTTTCAGTTTAATGTGCATTCTTTATAATTCATTGGTTTATCCTTCAGTGTCACCAATCAATCATAGTTTGTCATTTTTGCTTATTATTGTGTATGATTGGGTCAAGTTCTTTAATATTTAACACTGTCTGTCGGTTTCAAATGAAAACAACTGTTGGATGTCGTAATTGTTGAAGCTTGATTATGTCCACTTATCATTTCATACCAATTGCTCAGAATAAAGGAATCTCGAAGCAACCATTTTCCTATTGTATTCCTTCACAAGTTCTTGTGCAAGATGGATGTTTTCCGTGATACTTAGTAGTGGCCATGGGCCGAGCTTATCCTCACGAGCTCGTGGATTTTGGGCAAGCTCGTCATTTTTTTTCCTTTTTTTTATTAATTAGAGAAAAACGCAAAAAATGTAATGAAAACACTTTTTAAAAAAATAAAAAGTGTTAAAATAAATACAAATAATTTAATGAAGACACTTTTTTCTTTTTTTATTTATATCATATTGTAATATTTTTTATAAAGTATAAAATATTTATATAATGAAGACGAATTGTTTTTTGAAATATATTTACAAAAAATATATTTTTTTTGATTTCTTTTTAAAATAGATAAAATGTAAACCCTCCTCTTTTATTCGGGCTTGGGACATGCTATATTAATTTTAAATCGGCGGAGTTAAAAATTGTACACGAACAACTTGTTGTAACGTGTACAATTTTTCAAAGAAAATTAAATTTAACGATTAAAAAATAAGGAAAATTTGATTAATATAATTAAATCAAACATTACTTACCTGATCACATGCAATTTCAGTGTATTTATCTTGTAGTCGAAAATGAGCGTTTTACCAATCTTTTACGCATATTAATGCTTCCAAAATATCTTCTTTCAGTCAGCTCCTTGTATTGGTCAAAACCCTTTTACCTGTATTAAAAGCAGACTTCGAAGCAATAGTACTAACAGGAGGTGTCAGCAGATCTTTCGCAATTGCAGAAACAATTGGCCAACGTCTTTCATACTTTTGCCAGAATTCAATTACTTCTTCTGAACTTTTTTTAATTGTTCTGTCTGTTGGCATATTATAATTGAAGTAATCAATTAATTTGACAGTCATCGCATTTTGAGTTGCGACCGATGTTTGATGAGATGCATATGTAGACGACGTGACACTAGATAAACACATTGCAGTTGCATCATATCTAAATGTATTAATGCCTTGAAATAAATATATTATTTCGACATCATCTTCTTCAATTTCAGCCAAAGGAGTAAGTGCAGAGGATAGCCGACTAACATTCGCACCCATTCTTTCTGCATATAAATCATACATTCCATATAATGTTTGCTCTAAATTCTTGTAAGTGATAGGTGTATCAAGTATTAAGGTTTTATTGATTTGATCAATTACGTATTTAGTTCCCGAAATATTATATCGAGGGTTCATTGCGCATGTTAAAGGAAATAACATAGGCAGTTCTTCTCAATATTCTCTAAACTTTAATTCTATAGCAATTATAATTTCACTAAAAGCATGATCATTTTCATATTTATGGAATGTTGTTGTAATTATATAAAGGCGTTCAAGCACCATACAGTCTGTGAGATAATAAACGCCGGATAAAATTTTTGTGGTTTCATAAAAAGATGTCAAAAATCGTTTAACTTTCAAAGCTAAAACCCAGTCAGATTCATTCAACGTACCATCGTCATCACTTCTAACGTATCTATTGTCATAAAAGTCAGTTATTAAATGTTCGGAATCTTTGCATGATTTTAATAGCAAGTAAGTAGAGTTCCATCTATAGCCTACGTCGCTAACAAATGTTTTAGCAATCATTACCCCTAGTTCGATACAAAAATTTTCAAATACTTATTTTCTACTAGGAGAGATACAATATATACTAACACATTCCTAATCTTTTGAAGTTCATCCTTTATATTTTTTAAGCCATCTTGCACAATTAAATTCAAGATATGACACACACAACGAATATGAAAAAATACCCACCAAAATTAGGTTGAAGTGTCCTACACAATTTATCAACGATTACCTTATTAACACCAGCATTATCAAAAGTAAAAGACCAAATTTTAGTCTCGCAATTATATTTTCTAACAATACTGATAATAGCATTATATATATTATTAGCATTGTGAGGAAATTCAATAATTCTAAAAGCAATAAATTTTTTATGCATGCATCAAAGTGAGTCTATATAATGTGCGGTTGCAGCTATATATGCTCTTTTATTAACCCCTTCCCATATATCAGAAGTTAAAGATATAACACCCTCATATTGTTGCAAATCCATAATTAATTGTTATTTTGAATTATTGAAATATTGTATTGTATTGGCACGATGAGTGTTTCGACTTATCCCAACGTACCTTGGTTGCAGATATTCTTTCACAAACAAGATGAAATATTGGTTGTCTGCAATAGTCAAAGGCAACTCGGTGGCGGCAACAAATTTCACCATTCCAGTTCGAGTATTGTCCTCCGAATACACCCACGTGGGTAGGGGTGAAATCGTAGAACCGGCACTTGGACTGTCAAATTGTAATTGTGTTTGACCAGTTAGAAGAAGATCATATTTGACCCCACATGCTTTGTAGTGGCGGTTGAGATGGGTGGTACTAATTCTTTTTTGTCATGTCATTATTTGTTGGCAGTATTTACATATTGCTTTAGATTCTACAAGACCATCGACGACTTTTCCCGTTGAAATCAACTTAAAGTGATCCCAACATTTTGCTTTTTTTGCTCTTTCGCTTTCCCCTCGCATCTGGGATGTTTAATTCGGTATCTTCGTCCTCATGTTCCACTTTGGAAACGTTAATATCATCCAAATCAATTGGATAGTGGCTTCCCTGACCGTGAATGTGAACAATTTCAGGTACGGTACGTCATTTGGAAATTGACTTTGCGGCGTCCTAGGTGATTCGCCATGTGGCCCACACCCCATATCAAATAAGCTCTCAACAAATGAGCGTTGATCCATTTGTTTGATTGTTTATGATGAAATCCAAATATAATAACTAGAAAAATATAAATGTAGTGAGATTGTGAGAATTGGATGAATTGAAATTGTAACTAAATAAACTGTAAAAAATGAATCGATATTATATATTTCGCAGCACAAGAGAGTAAAAACTCGATAATTGATATATTAAAAGAGAGTTAAGAAATGAAAAGTGGTGATTGAGAGGAGATAATTGATATGAAAAAAAGGGGAGTTAGGGGTATTTATAGTAGAAGGGATAAAAAAATATTCAGTGACCAAACGGTCACTTTTTTTAAAAATTGACCATTTTGGTCACTATAGTTCGCGCGAGCAGCCCACGAGCTACTTGTCTTCAAGGCTCTGCTCGTCTCCCGACAAAGCCCGCTCGTCTCTCGCTCGAGCTCGTGATTTTATGAGCCCGAGCCGCCTACGAGCCCTATTTCTACGAGCCGAGCGACCGAGCCTCTTTTGACATCCCTAGTGATACTCCTACCTTTCACAAAAGCGGCTTGTGCATGGTCGACAATATTGCCCAAAATTGGTTTCAATCTAGATGCAAGAATTTTAGCGATCACTTTGTAAGTAGCATTACAACAAGTGATAGGTCTATAATCTCTTTTGATTGAAGGACTTGAATAATTGGAATTTAACGTTACTTGCTAAATCTCTTTGAAATATACAACATAAAAAAGACACTATTTGGATTCGGTGGGTTCATCAAGTATCTCTTAAAGGGACTTGCATTTGGGAAGTTCTACTTAGGAAAGATCACTCCCCACTCTTCAAAAAATTGTTGAAAATCAGAAATACATTGACACGGAATGCGACTGCCTTCCAGTTTTTTTCGCATGGACAGAATGTTCAATTCTGGGGAGTGTGAAAAATCTACCTTTGTATGGTTCTCCCCCAAGACAGGATGATGTTGTACCGCAAAATGGTGATTTTTTGAGCAACTTAACTAGAGATAATGCTATTCGAATTCAGGTAGTACTGGACAGATTATAAAGCTGGTCGACTGGGGTCAAATTTTGCACTAAATCCACCTACAACTTCTTCAGGCCGAGAGGATCAAATAAGGTTTGGACGCCAAGTTGGGCAATTTTTTCCCAGCAAAGTAGTATAAAATTTTACAAATTCCATAGCAACTTGATCTTGTGATGTAGTATTCATCCCATCCTCTTTGAGTATAGTAGCAATAAATTCCTCATTGAGTTCCTTTTAACCACCGAGTGAAAGAACTTTGTACATTTATCACTTTGTTTAAGGAAGATGCATTTTGTCTTTTGATAATAAAAACTACATTCCGCTTCACATAAACCAACGACTTTCTTCCTCAATTTAGGAACCATAAGTTGAAGATTTTCATTCACGGGCTGATTATGTAGTTGTCATTGTGCAGCCTCTAATTCATTTTTAGCCTCATTTGCCCTAGTCAAAATGTGTCCAAACTGCTTAATATTAAGCTCATCTTCTTGCAAAGGATAAATTGCTTTGTCTCTCGCACATTGAAATTCCAACAAGTTTGAATAAGATCATAAAAGTTCACATGCTTAGTCCACATGTTGAAAAATTTGAAAGGTTTTTTAGCACCCCCCCAACACGGTCATGAAATGAAACAATGCAAAGGGAGTGGTCGGAAAGGCATCCGGAAGGTAGAAAACTTGCATCAACATATGCCCCATTTTGCACCCAAATATCATTGATCATTGCCATATCAATTTTGCTCCAAACCTAGTTATTAGTCCATGTGTAATAACAACCAATGGAGCGCAAATCCGTAAGACTCACATAAAGGCAACAATTTGCAAAATTCTTAATTTCATAAGAAGTAACGTCTGCCCTAGTACATTTCTCATCAAATTTGAGAACATTGTTGTAGTCACCAAGAATCATCCAAGGCAACGAAACTTTAGTGTTGAATTCCATAATGTTATTCCAAAGTGGGCGCTGGTTAACCAAAGTATGAAATCCATAAACAAAATAACAAGAAATGTATAAGATGTTACCTTGCAAGTAGTTTTACAATGAATAATTTGTGGGTGAACCTCCATCACATCCAAAAATACCTTGGATGGATTCCACAAAATCAAGATCCGTCCGGCTCTATGAGTGCAAAAAATTGTTTACATGCATGAAGCCATTGAATTTATTCCGCAAAATTCTCTTAAATTTTCGATCAACCAAC